CAAAATTAGATAATGGGTTTTAGTAAAAAGTTGAGTCGATGCAGAGAAAACTTACAAAAAAGTCAATATACAGATAAAATCTTAACTTTAGCGCAAAGCCTTCGGAGTCTGTTCTAAACTATATGCCATTCACTATTGGACAATATATGAACTCAAAAGCTTTTAATTATCTCAAGATATTCCTTCGTTAGTCATTCTTGTTTTAGTAATATTAGATCAAGAGATGTTGATTTGATGATAGATTTTCATTATTATGATTATTAACTTGATTATGTAATGATATTGGATTGTTTTCCAGTATACATTGTAAATTAATTGATTGTAAGTATATATTCATATCTAATCTTATAAATTGTCAATGATTAAGTATCTATTGTGTAAATGTAAATAAAAATTGAAAAATGTTTTCGTCTAATCCATTTTGACAAGATTCTAACTTTTTCACAAATCAATCAAAATTAAATTCAAGTTATTCATATCAGTATAAATTAATTTATTTTCATCAAATTCACGATCAAATTCATAAGAATATTTCCTGACAAATGGTTGTTGAATTGAACAATTTTTTTTTGTCCATAATTATATTTTCAATAATATTAATTGTTCGGTCAAATTTTTCTATTTTTGGATTATCACTTTTATGTGCAATAAATGTTTCAGCAATACTTTCACGTGTATTGAAATTTTTTCAATTGATAAAATTTCTTATGATAATCTACAAAGCATAAATATTCTTTGAATAGTAGTTTGAATGTTATAAAAAAACATTCTACTGAAAACAAGCAATCTATTGTTTAATTTCTTGCTACTTTGATTGACAAGTATGAAAAACAGATTTGACAAATATAGAATTGTTGTTATACTATCATATAGAAGCATACATGTTTTCTATTGAATGAAGTTTCATAAACGATCTGTTATATTTAGATGACAAATTATATATATCATTTCCTTTTATATAATATTCTAATTTCATGTATGAAAGGTATTTTTAATAGGATCAAAAAATAAATACAATAGAATATTTATACGAGAAATAGTGATGACAATAGATGAAATTTTTTACTAATTCAAGTTAAAAAGTTCATATTCTAGATATGTTCTAATATAATACTGATTCATTTATGTGTATTATAGAAAGGAAAAATAATTGTGAGAGAGAAAATAATCATTATCGTCATTAAAATCTATGCAGGTCATGTATTTTCAACAATACTAATCTATTGGAATACAACAAAAAAAAAAGAGACCAAGTTGATTAGTTATTCATTTGTTTTTATTCATATATATATCTGACATACACAGTTGTGATGATTACACAAGAATAATTTGACCTAATATCATCACACAAACACACGCACACAAAAATTTCATTTAGTTCCTATAGTCGATCATCATATCTTTTCTAAGTAAAAAAAAAAAAAAAGAACACAAAATACACTCACAGAGTGTAAGTTCTAAAGGCAAAGTTAATCTTTGCTTTTTTTGTTTTTACATAAACATAAATGATCAAATAATTGTACCAAAATGTACATCATATCTGATCTTTTATTGTACATATACAAGAGACAAAAAAAGCTAACAGAAGAAAAATAATAATAAACAATAACATTGAAATATAATAGCGAACAAAAAAACCGAGAAAAAAAACACCACAAAATGCGATATTTGACTATATACCAGCAATTGATTTGATTATCTAATTTCATTTATCTGACATTGAAAATAAAGCGAAAGAAAATATTTCCTATTATATATTTATCTAATTATAAAAAAAGATTGATAACTATTTCTTGTTTCCATTATTGTTCAATTCTCTTATTTGATTTATATATATATAGTGAAATTAAAATGAATTATTTTAATAAATGTGTTAATGCTATTTGAACATAAGCACTTTTACAACAACTATTTTGTGCTATTGAAAACATATTACTTTGAGAAAATTTTTTTTGTACACTTTTTAATTTTGCTGTATCTTGTCCAATAAGTAATTGTCCTAATTGTTCAATACCTTGATAAAGTTGTTCGTATGTATAACCTGTATGATAAAACATAAATTTTGTTGGCCATAAATTTTCAATTAATAATGATATTGATGTTAATGATGGTATACGTTTATATGCAAGCAAATAACGTGAGAAAAATGATGCACAAGCTGATATATACGACGGAAGTATATGTGAAAATGAATGATCAATAAATGTTAAATCAAGAAGATATTTTCCTAATGTATGTTCTATATCAGTTGCTTGAATTATTTTTGAATAACGACGAAGATAATTTATTGATAACGGACGGCCAAGATCAAACGATAATGTTGATATTATACGTCGTTCCATTTCTTTCATATCATCTTTTGAATAAGCATTATCGGATACATAAACAAAATCATTCATACCAGGTATTGCCATTTCTTCATATTTACATGCTAATAGTAAGGCTAAAACAAAAAATTATATTAAGATCTAGTCTCAATTCATAGATTGGATTTTTATAGAAGCAATAAAATCATAGTTCTTGACTAGAAGTTTGACCTATTAACCTTTTAATTTAGTTTTCCGCTATATTTAACAAAATTTTGCAACTGACTGTATAATGTAAGATAAACATTACATGATCGCATGGTAGAAAATAAAAGATAGGCAAAATGATGAATTTAACTGTGATGAATCGAAATTTGACAGCACGCAATTATGAAATGCTCTATCTTTACAATTAATTATTTAGCTAAGGTCTACTTTGATTAGTTAACACTAAAATTTTTAGGTTTTTACGAAAGAAAAATCTAGTAAAAAAAAAGAGAACTTCGCTCATCAATCAGAACATGGTGTAGTATTTTCGGTATGAAGTAGCAATGTATTTCATAACTAACGAAAAAATTGTCTCAACTAATTTAGAATTATTACACTGATATATTTCGCTTAAGTAAAACCTAGTAAAACTGAAAAATAGTGTAATAGTCTAAGAACCTATTAGTCTTTCTGAGTGTTGATGAAAAGTCAATTTTTCATGACATATGGTATCAGGACAGTGTTTTTTAAACATTCAATATTTCTGGAAAGAAGTATTCATTTTGATTGTAGCATTTAGGTTGCTATAAAAATAACGAAATCAATATGTAAAAAAAAAATTTCAGATCAAAATTCTAGTTTAAGTTTTCGATATGTCTTTTGTTATATATAATAAATCTAGTAAAATGCTGATGAATATAGAAGAAAGACCCATGGATCCTTATCTTATATTTAGCTTTTTGTAATTTCACCGAATCTTATTTATAGGAAAAATTGCAGCGGAAAAGCTCGAAGTTACTTAAAGAGGTTTTCTTGTAAATTCACTGATGAAAATTTTTCAAAGACTATATCTAAATTTCATATGATGAATAGATACTCTATGTATCATGGTCAAATATTTTGTAATGTGCTGGCAAAAATTAAATTTAACTTTGATGATTTGCTTTAGAAAATTTATTTCTAAAACAAATATGAAAATATTTGTTTAAAAAGCATTGTGCTTATCGAAATTCTTTATTTTAAACATACCAGTTGATCCAATAAGTTGTAATTCATGTTTAGACACATCAACTATTTGTAAATAACGATCAATAAGATGAATTGTCATATGAAATGTATCCGAAAGAAGTTTAAAACGATCGTGTACTTGATAAAGCCAATCAATAAGTACAGCTCGATTTTGAGGTGAAGCTGTGCCTATAAAATAAAATTCTACGATATTTAAACAGAATTCTCTATTAATTTGATTGACCTTCACGACGATGAAGTAAAAAATTCTGTCGAATAGGTGTACGTTGTTCAAGTTCTTTCCAATATTTGCAAATATCAACAACTAATTCTGAAACAGTCGTTATATTATTTCGATCACCACTATCACAATCAAATTCAACTGGTATGTCTGTTGACGATTCAAAATTATCATCTAAAATAATCTCTTCTATTTCATTGGCAACAATAATATTTGTTGTTGATGGTGGTAGTGATAGTGGTGGCGGTGCTGGTGGTAGTGTATTATTATTTGATTGTGATTCAATAATTACTCCTCCAGAATATTGTTGTTGAATAATTTTTGATTTAGAAATTAGTGGTTTATTTGACAATGTCATGTTACCAACTTCACCAAGGATTCCACGCATTGTTCCTTTTTTACCGTTTGCATTTATTGAAGTTTGTTGTGCTTTTGATATATGTTTAAAAATAAGATTTTTTATTGTAGAATTTTCATCATTTTCATTATTTAATGATGCAGAATTATTAGTTGAATTTGTAGGTTTCCCATTATATGAACGAAGAAAAGCTGAATAATGGCTCATGATGGTGATGAAGGCAGCTTAAATATATGATTATTAAATAAGTCTAAAAATTTGAGAAATTAAATTAGATGGAATAAAATACGCATTCACACACATACACAGAAACACGATTAGTTAACTAAACGGACGATTATGAATAGACTGATCATGAGAGAAACGATGGTGGCCGTGACAAATACTGAAGAAGAAAGGATTCGAAAACATGTTTAACTATTGGCTAAGAGAAAATAAAGACAGTAGCGACAATTAGCTTTCTCTTTGAACATAACGGACTATTGTTTAGGAAACAAATTTAAAAAGAAAAAAAAATGATTAGAATGAAAACTATGAATATCATTCTATAAAAACTGTCTAATATGAATCTTGTAAGAAATAAAAACTTTGAATTTGTCATTTTTAATACAAATATAAGAACTGTTATTGATTTTGAATCAGACCCTTTTTTTCCTACTTTGATAGATATATGAAAAAAAACACGATAAGACGTCTTTTTCTGATTTTATAACTCCTATGAGTGATAAAATATGTTTCAAAAGAAAATAAGATTTTTACAAAGAATTTTTTTATTACTTGAGGATTTATCTTTACATATATAGTTACTGTTGACTCGTATGTCATGTTATCTAGTTAAATACATAAACAATTTTGTTTTTCGTTATATCTACGGTGGCATATGGGTTGTACGAAGTCAACTACAAAACAAGAAACAGAAGTTGGAGGATATAAACATGATGAAAAAAGATTTCAAAATTTATTTCATGCAACAACTGAATTCGATATATCAACATCAGATTCGGAAAATGAACAAGTGCTTGTTTCAATTAAGTCATTGACTAAAAATAATTATAATAATAAAGATAAATTAACAAAAAAAATCGATAAACTTTCAAGTGGTTTGACGACAGCAAATACTGGTTCATCAACAACGAATAGTACGTTAATCGGCAATCGACTCAATCAAACATATGTTTGATATTTGATACTGTAGTAATTATTAGCTCACTCATATTCATGTAACTTACTGAGACTTGAGGAGAATATTTAAAAACTTGTTGATATCTCTTTTTTTATGCGTATTCTACACAATATTTCTTTTCTTTTTGAACTAAAGATACTGTTTGTCATTCGTTGACTTCAAATAAAATCATTTTAAAAAACTTTGTTCTAGTCAATATTCTATCGATAAATATCACAAGTAAAGCATTTATCATCATATATTAATATACGTTCTGCAGAGATGTCGAAGAAAAATTTCCTAATATAGGAATAAATTGGTAGAAACGACTTTTCATTTAAGAGTTTGTACTTTGTTCTACTGATGTCAGTATTATCTTAGCCCTCTATCATCACGTATGTCTATTATTCATATTAATCTATAAGCATACACTATAAATGAAGAACTATTCTTTTGCTTGTATAAACAGTGGATTTTTATACAAAAGATGGTTGGTAATGTTATATTGATAATATTTATTTGTTTCACTATTAATTCAATCGCAATTGGTCATTTTATGCGACAAAATGATATCGATGATGTTTTCAACTCTAGAATTAAACCTTATTTGAAGGATTTAAAATTTGATAATATAACATATTATTCGTATCATATTCATGTATATTTTTTACAAAACGATTCTAAACAACGAAATGAAGCTAATCAATTACGAAATCAATTTCTTGCTAAATTTAATGTTAGCAACTGTAATGATCATTGTGAAACATGGTGCCCTCGAATTTGTCATTGGAATTTAAATATGTCACCCGTTGGGTACGATAAAAATTTTTTTATATCTATAACAATTATGTTTATAACATATATATATATATATGTCATATAGATATTAAACCTATTGATGAAATAGCAACTTTGTTGCTAATGTTTCTCAAAGTTATTTCATGTCAACTAATTTCAGAAGAATTATAAATTAATTGTTGATGTTATAATCAAAAACACACTCATATATGGTTAGTTTTCATTTAAAAAAAAATCACTTTTCACGAAAAATATATTTAATGAATGATTCTGAAGAGTCAGAATCAAATTTTGTTAGAGCTTCAGATAATCGTAGGTTTATTCAAGTGTCACTAAGTCCTATAGATAAAAAAGTAAATCTTTAGAACACCATGGTTCAATTGAAATAACGTTTGAACTTTGTACTATTCGGAAAGATAACTCATACATGAGTAAGTTAACTATTTATCAGATTCAATTTCATATTGAATCAAACAACACACTTGAGTCGACTGTAGTTTTGAAATAGTTATCGTTAGGAAGCTGCAGGTCCTTCCAGACTACGATTCGAGTTCATAACAACGCTGATCCACAGCTCCTAACTTATCTTGCCTGTAGTATTAGTTATTTATTAGTCCGACATAAATTTTATGAGTAAAAGTGATTCTAAAAACGAACACATCAAGCAAATATTATATGAGAAGTATTAGATAAAGAAGTGGGAGCGACTTATGACTTCCGAGTGCTAAAGGTACAGTACTATTGAGATTTATTGTTTTAGAATTTATCTTATTTCTAAATCCTTGAATTTATTTTTCGGCGTATATATATCGTGAGTGTATTAGAAAGAATTCATATTATGAAAGAACTATTCCACACCCTCATCATTAGGCTTGTCAACTACACAACTTAGTATCATCTGAATAATTTTGCAACCATGCAGAGCATTAGCAAAATTGAATTCTGATTTTTTTCGAATCATTTTCTAAATATTTGTTCGTAAAAAATGGTATATATATATATATATATGTATATTTAAAATGAAAAATTAATTATATAAATATTTTTCTATTATGATATCATCAGTTATTAGATAATTATTCAGTATTTAGTTGATCTGGAATAGCTTTGATACAACATTTTGATATTTGATTTAGGCCACATCCTATTGGTTCATGGGGTGTCTATATACCACTTGAACAATTCACACAAACAATTTCATTTATATCAACGTATCATGGTAATCTAACTGTTTTGATACATCCAAATTCAGGTCGTCCTAAAATTGATCATCTTATCAATGGCCTTTGGATCAAATCTATCTTACGACTTAATGGTATTTATATTTTAAGCAATTTCTTTTCTTGTTTTCATTTCATTTTCTTCTTCTTCTAGAGAAACAATTGAGTGACAGTGCACCTCCACCATCTTATCGAATAAGAAATTAATTATACTTTCGGTTCTTTTTTTTGTCTTCTCATTTGAATTGAAATAAAAAGAATTTTTTTATACCGAATCGAATCTTATATTTCAATTTTCAAGCATAAGTAAAATAAAACTAGATATGGTGAATAATTCGTGTGTTTTTTATTATATACAATAAAATTCTATATATTATTTAGAATGTAACACTAAGTGAACAAGAACTTTATGGTACTTGAATAATTTCTCATTAAATTAAAAATTAAAATATTTATCTTTTTTAAAAGAAATTCGTCAAGCATTTTCATCTGTGGATGATGATAATGATGGATTAATACGTACAAAAGATCTTCCAACTATTTTTAAGCAGTTCGGAGAAAATCTTCAATCATTTATTATCGAAGAAGATGAATTAAAACATTTACTTGATCAAAATAATATTAATGGTTAGTTTTTATCGACTAGTTATTTTTATCGTTATTTTATTTAGATTCTAAATAATAGATTCTGATCAAATAACAGTAACTCAATTTCTAACGTTGATTGCATGTAAAGTAAATGTAGATGATAATATTGAAGAATTACAAGAAGCATTTAACATTTTTGATCCAACAAACACTGGTTTTATTACGTAAATATTTCTTTATAGAACAAACAATTCTTTTTTTTCTCCTTGCAATCTTTCTAGTATGAAAGATCTTTTACGTGTCATGCAAAGTATTGGTGAAAATATATCCGAAGCTGATGCTCAAGAAATGATCCGTCATGCTGATCGAGATTTAAGTGGAAAAATTAATTTTGCAGAATTTATTGAAATGATTCGATATTCATGAACGATATGATATCAAACTCAATGGCAAAAGAATTTATTGTAATAATTAATTAAAAAAAAAATATATATGCATTTATAAATATATAGAGATATTATTCTTCTTGAAAATAAAAACAACACTCAACATTTCAAATGAAGATAAATCAATTTCATAATTAGTCAAATAAACAAATAAACACAAAGTCAGAATTAGATAACTCGATTATAATTTATTCTTTGTTACGACATAAGACTAAACGAACAATAGAGAAAAAAAATCTGACAAATTAAGACGAATATTTTTTTTCTCTATTCGTCCATTATTTCAATAACTTCAGGCTCTTGTTGTGGATAATGACCACCAGGTGACATATAAGCCATAATTTGTTGAGCAAATTGTGGATCATCATTAAACATTGAAGCAAAATTTTGTCCACTAGCCATCATTTGTTGTATACACATAAGACGTTCATTCATTAATTGTTGTTCATATATATTCGGTATTGATAATGTTGATCGTTGTTCTGATTGATCTTGATCCATACTCATATTATGTTGTTCAGTTATATTCGATGTTCTATTATTCATTTTTCTTGATGGGTCTTTTAACTGTTGCATACTTATAGCACTTTTTAATACAGATGATGATGATGGAGCTGATGTTGCATCTGAAATCATTGATGACATATTCATTGTTGAAACAGAAAATTGAGGTGGTAAATTATGAACATTTGAATATTGTTGACAATAATCAGGATCATCAAGATAAATATTTGATTGTGAACGAGCAGCAAATGATGATGCCATTGATAAAATTGAACGAGATGCAAAATGACTTAAACCATCATTTCCAACATAAGTAAAACTGTATGAAAATAAAAAATAAGAAAAAAAAATGAATTATGATATCAGAGAAAAAGATACCGTTCGAAAGCATCATCTGAAAAACCAAGACCATTTAAAGATTCAGTACTACCTGAAAAATAAAATACCACGATTATAATAAAAATATAACACAAAAAAATATTTTTATTTTTACCAGGCGGTGTTATACAAACTGGCTCATTAGTAAATTCAGCGTCAAAATAACGTGTATCTGTGTCTGAATCAAGTACTGGTTTAAATGGTGGTTCAATCTGAAGAAATAATTTAAAAGTATTACTTTATAATTTATTAATTTGACAAAAATAAACTAACTTTTTTTTCTTCATATAAACGAAAAGGAATATTAATAAAGAATGGATGTCGTTCAACTTCAATAACATCGTCAACACCAGATCCAATACTAAAATAAAGGATTAATAAAATTATATTGAATCTTCTTAATGTGTTTTTTTTTTTTATCTTTACCGTTCAGTTGGCTCTTTTTTAAGAAAACGTTTAATTAAATCAAGTGCTGTTGGCGATAAACTAGCTGGATAAGTTGGCTCATGATTCAGGATTTTTTGAAAAAGACCTTCTTGACTTTTTGTATCAGCAAATGGTAATCGACCAACAAGACATTCATACATTATAACGCCAACACCCCACCAATCGATTGCATTTGTATAGGATGTCATCCGAAGAATCTTTTTATTTTCAAATAAAAATAATAAGATTTATTAAATGATTGATTGCTATTCAATTATAATGCTATATAGTGATAGATCTTCAATTATCTCATAAAAAAAGATCTATACTATCATCAAAATATTTAAATTTCATTTGCTGATTTTCATTGCGAATTTTTATTTGTAAAATAAAACTCATTGATATTTCGAATTTCAATCAATCTATGATGCAAAAATAATGATATCTACTGTCGATTCTTGTATTTTATCACAACAAGTGCTTTAGAAACAAATTTTTTTTTGTCAATTGATAGGAAATTAATAGTTTTTTTTGAATTGTATATAATTTGCTTTTGGAAAAATTATATAAATACAATGATGTGAGACAAATAGGAAACATTCGCATAATTATTTTTCGTGAATTTAATATGAACTTATCAATAAAAAATTTTATAAGATAAAATTCAATTATATTCAACTAATGTTTGATAAGATTTCTTTTGACAAGTACACAAAATCGAATAAATAATTATCTTACAAGGTATTCCTGATATATTAACAAAAAATTAAATTAAATATCATTTGCAAGAATCATTTTCAGGAATCTATAGACAAAGTACAATATTATTCTACAAATGTTGCTCTAGTTTCTAATGTCGTTTTGTGAATGAATGTCTCACAAATATATCTATCCTCGGGAAAAAAATTTTCTTTTTCAAAACGTATTTATCGATACTCAATAAAGATCAACATTTTGTGCTATTGCTTCTGTATCGTATGTGTTATTTCAAACTTTAACAAACAAACTAATCTAGAACTAAAATTAGAAAAGCTAATCTTGTTCATTTTATGAAATATGATCTAAAAAGAATGTTGAAGTAAAAAAGTAAAAATTGAAATATCTCCTCTCTTTCCTCGCACAGACTATGACGTACATTGATATACGATTACAGACCGTATCTAAATAATATCCTATTATAATATACAAACTACTTCTTTATTCGATTTCTGAAAGATAAAGACAAAACATGGTGAAGCAATGTTTTTTCAAAATTGATAAAATTAAAAATAATTTTCCATTTCAATGTTGCGGAGATTTCACTAATAGCTTTCTATTTTTAAGTCATGAATGATAATATTTCGAAAGATTTTCTATTAGCAGAACATATATAGTTTAACTATTATAGTAACAAACAAAGATTTACAATTAGTCTAACATCAACTAACAGATATTGGTTTTCGACACATTAAATAAAACTTTTTGTTAAATATGTGAAGATCAACAATCATATTTGATTCTTCATAATGAAATAAATATCTTTTCTTGTCATACCTCTGGTGCAATATATTGTGGTGTACCACAAAAAGTAACAGTCGTTTGTCCGAATGGTACATTGGTTTTACATAAACCAAAATCAACTAATTTAATATGACCAAAACGATCAAGTAAAATATTTTCCAACTAAATTAGAAGAATAATAAATTAACAAAAATGATTGTTCGTTTTTCTTACTTTAACATCACGATAAATAATTTTTCTTGAATGTAAATAACCAATAACACAAGCTATTTCAGCTATATAAAATCTTGTACGTTCTTCTGAAAAACGTTTTTCATGATTTAGATGAAAAAAAAGTTCACCACCATTAACACATTCCATAACAAGACAAAGACGATCACTGGTTGTAAATGCACATATTAAATTCTATAAAAAAAGAATTCAATTCAATAGAAATAAGAATAAATAAGTAATTTACCGTAATAAATGGATGGCGAATTCGTCGAAGAATTTTATTTTCATCCATTGTGTGTACAATTTCATTCTAATGAAAATAAAATTAAAGTAAACAATAAAACAAGACGAAGAATTTTCCATACATTTGTTATAACAAGACTTTTTCGTAACATTTTCATAGCAAATATTCGTTGTGTTGTTCTTTCTCGACATAAAACTACTTTTCCAAATGTGCCACGGCCAAGTATTTTTAAATATTCAAAATCATTTATTTGCTACAAGAGAAAAAAAATCATTTAAAAGAAAAAACAAATCATATTTTCTTTTTAAATTATTTTTCATACTGGTCTTCGTGTAAATACTTCGTTCATTAAAGGATATTCGTTTTCTGTATTATCAGCATCATCATTCGTAACCATTTTAGCACTAGTGCTTGGCGATTTTTGTTGTAAATGTGGTGATGTTTGTCGATTAATTATTTCAATAGCTGTTATCCATTCTTCACTAAACAAATAAACCAAAACAAATTTATTAAAGAAAATTTTCTTTTTTTCTCTCTTTTCATTAAATACCGATCTTGTGAGCTGCTAGCAGCGAATAATCGTTCTATTTTCATTTGATGAAAATGTATAACAAAAGCATTTTGTTTGATTTTATCTTGACGTACAACACTACAATCAGTCACTTGAAATCTATTAAGTGGTTCTTCTTGTTGCGTATCATTTAAAACTGGAGGCTTACGATAACCATAAAAATTACCATCATGACGAAGAATGAAATAACGTGGACGCCAAGTTTTTATGTGTTCACCTAAAGTAAAAACAATAATAGAACAAGAAATTATTTAATATATTATACATTGTTTTGTCAATTTAGTGATAGTTTATATCAAACTAGTGGCAACGGACTTAGATCTTGTTCTTTCGAATACAATAAGATTTGATTAAATGGACTCTTTTCTTATATTCTACATATAAGTCAAACGCATAATAAGTTTCAAGATAAAATGAAAGTCTTTGTTTTATAGTGATTCAATATTTCAAGACAGCATTCATATCAAGTTAAGTTTATGAGATACTAGGTAAAGTCTACCTAACTTGTCGCAAAGATTTTACTACTTTTTTTCTTAGTTACTAATTAAAAAAAGATACGGTTATGATCTCTGTTGACAACTATAACACAATGATGAATCGATGCTCTTGCAAAACAAAAAACATAGCTTTTCTACCTGACTTGTTTCTCTTATGTAATAATACTCTTTCTTTTGATTTCAAGGTTAATAATTGAAAGAGACATGTGACAAGTTTCTTTTTATTTGTAAAACAATGTTTTCTCGTTCTATTTTTATAATAAATCTTAAATATTTTTTAAACAAACTAAATAACAAAATTCAAACTAATCAATATCTATTTCTATCAATTCTACTTTTGAGAAAAAACTTCCATCTATAAAATAAGCATTTAACATACCTCTTTTATAAAGCCAACCACATTTATAAGCCGGTGCATTCGTCAATGATTCCGTTGGATTACGTGGTTGACTTGAGCTTTTGGCAAGAGGTTGCATATTGTTGCTTTTTTCTTTATATCGTATAAATTATCATATGATTCTTTTATTTCTTTTTATCTATCTAGAAACGAAAACATTACTATTTATCTGCATGAGATTTTATATAACAAAGGTGTTATGTCATGGACACATTTGTAAATCAATGAACCGAAACAATAACAAGAAAGAAAAAAGTATTCTATCAAGAAACGTTATATGAATACACATCATTTGAAATAAAGACAGCATATTGTTAACATTTATGATCGTTTGTTTTTTTTTTGAATACAAATAGACAAAAGAAAATGGGCTACTTCTCAATTGCGGACAAAATTTCAGCCCTCACCCACACTGTCGGCATGCTAATTGCTTTGATTTTCGTCTGCAACAGGAGAAAATGTTCCTGCGCTGTGAGAGAACATTTGTTTATTTTTTTCAATACGATTAAATAATGTATATGTATTACTATATTATGTACAGCATGCTGTGATTAAAAATAAATTCATTCGATTGTGACGAATTAAAGCAACAATTGAAAAAAATAAAATATTATCAGATTAGTAATTTATCTTCAGATATAAGTTTTTCATAAAAATAAGGATTTCAACAGTATTGAAATTATTTAATAGAACTGCAGAATGAATAATAAAAGTTACGATAGTATGTGTACTTATTAAATTAATTTTTTTCTAAAAATTCATTTTATAAATGTCGACAATAAAAAGAATATGTGAGTTTTATTAATGTTTTTCAAAAAACAATAGATTATGTGAAAGAAGTAAAAGAGTAAAGATTTCCTAGAGAAATTGCTTTTAATATTCTAACCTTTACAAAATGAATAGGTGTTAAGCTAGTCAATCATTTCTTATCATTGTCTTTATTATTACGTGATTTTGAATATATTAACTGTAAGAACAAAACAATCTATGATATTTTCTTTTGATATACTTAATGAAGAATTATTGATATATCATATGACTCAATCTTATTCACATTTTCAGAAAATATCATGTGTTTGAAAGTTAGAATTTTGTTATTAAATATTAAATACTCGAAAAATTTTACTTGTATTAATTTGATAGTAATGTTTAAATACCATGAACATTTAACATTTAAACTTTTTGAGAAAAAATAAAATTATTCAACGTTCAAAATTGTTTGAAGACATATAAATCAAAAAAGATTGAAACTATTGCGTTTAAAACATATGGATAAATAATACTATTAATGTATATATATAAATTCAAAATTTGCAATTTCTTTAAAATAATTTCACAGTTCAATACTAATTATCATTATTTTGATAACCGTATTAGTTAATATTTTTTTGTTTTTGATAAATATAATCTACAATAATAATAAAAACAAGTATTAATTACTAAAAATTTTTTTGTTTTCTAATTAAATAATGTTTTTTTTTTTCAAGAATTATATAAAAATGGTTTTCTTTTGTATAAAGTGATGTTCATTTTAGTTGATAATCAAAAAACTATGTACAGCATAAATATAACTAAGTATAGTAACGTAATTATTTCATAACTAACTAAGCAAGTAATATAAAAAGCAAAAGAAAATCATGATTTTTTTCAACCATGTTAAGTAGCTTCCTTACATCCGAGAATGTCTCAAGAACGGTTGACTTCAATGCACTTCTATTACTCGATTGCTTCTTAGTTCGTAACTTAAGAGGATAAAGAAAGAATTTTATAGGAAAAAAAAGGACGATTATTAATGAAGCTTTTTAATAAGTTATTAATAAATGAGATTAGTTTTTCTAGAAAAGAAATCCAAAAACAGACTATTCATATTGTCAAACTTAAAAAAAAAAGCATCAAATTAGATATTCAGGTTTATCTATTAAGCTGAATTCTACATGAAGGGGATATTTTCATGCTTCTACCTTGTCTCTTTGGATTTATTAAATAAACAAAAGGAATCTTCGATAAAACTGAAACAAAATAAACTTATACTAATAATATTTATTTTTTTTCTTTCTTAATATTACAAAACAAAAAAACACAAAAAAGCAGTACGAGCATTGACTAATTGAATAAAATACATATTATCCATCAGCAAAAAAAAAACAGATGAAGCGAAGCAAGGATAAAGGCATGTATAAGATTTTTTTTTTCTTTTAAATCTTTTACAAATATGTTTCTTTAATATTTGTTCCATTTTGGTCTGTACCCATAAATCGAACTGTAGCAATAACTTCTTTTTTTTCGCCGTGTTTCATACTTGATGTACGTGGTCGAATAGAATCATTATTAATTTCATTGTGTATTATAGTTTGAACATTTTGTATATTTGGTGATGACACACGTTGTTGTTGTTGAATGGTTTTAAAATATGTTTGTGTTGATGTTAATGACATTGGTTTATAATGACGTATGGACGATGGAGATGGACTTGATGCTGCTAAGCCAATTGATGATGATATATTTGTTTTTATTTCATTTATCAGAGGTGATGTGACATCTTGATTGTCATCTAGTGATGTTTTCTCATTTTGTTGTTCGCTTGATGAGGACGTTTTTCTACAATTTGAACGTAGATATTCTTTGGTTGGTGAATTTTCATCAATTATATCAAATATTGATTTATTTTGATGAATAGTTGGTGGTATTAAGGCTGTAGCTGTAGCATCACTTGGTACCGGGACAAAATTTAAATGTTCTATTGTATCATTCGGTAAATCATTCTCAATAATAGCTAAACAATAATACAAATAAAAAATAAAAAACAAATAAGCAAAACAAAAAACACATGCAAGCGAATATGTTTTTTCTCTATTTCTATATAGGTTTGTTTTATAAACATAAAGCTTTTGATTTGTCTAAATAATTTATATAGAAAAGTGAATTGAAAAATCTTTTCGTCTGTTTTTTTTTTCGTGTGTGTCATTTTACCTGTTTCATTTTCAAAATGATGTTTATGTGAACGTTGTCGATTTTTAATTGAACGTGTTGTTGTTGCTGTACGTTTTTGTTTAACCATATCAATTGTTGGCGGCAGTTCAATTTCAATACCAATTGTATCTTGTTGTTCAAGTTGATTATCATCAAATTCATGTAAATAACTCATAGATTCTGTCATCTTAAGAAGAAATAAATACATAAATAAATTTATACATAATGTAATATAATATATTAATACTTACTAAAATCACATCAGCATACATTTCATATTCAGCGCGTTGTTTTAATAAACGCATACATTCAAATGCTTCTCTATCTGATGAATTAGCTCTAAAAATAAAATGTTAGTAACAAATAAAAGAAATCTTGTTTGCATTTTCTTTTTGTTGTTGTTGTATGATTACTTAAAATAGAATAATGTTCCTAAGATTTCTGATAATATTCGACTTGATAGATGTATTCGACGACCATTCAGTGGTAAAATAGAATTCTTTTCTCTTTTTGAAATACTTTGATCAAATGAAAAACCTTGACCAAGTAATCTATGAATAATAAAATAGATGAATTTAAAAAAATTCATTTATCTTTTTAGTCTATACTACTTTTTTGACATTTTAAAATAAGATCGTCGAGAATATATATCCATATGTGACACATTTGAACCATATTGAATAAGTAGAAGCCAAAGAATTTGTTCTCTAAATAGAAAAGAAAATATTTGAAAATTTATCTAAAATTTTCTGTCAAATCAGTCAATCAGTTAAAACAAAAAAGTTAGTTTATTGTCTCAAAGAATTATACGAATACATATAAATCTAGGTGATCTACAAACATATAATTGAAATTTCTTGATTCTGTTTTCTGTGTTATCTCGCCACTAAATAATAAAAATTAAAAAATAAAAGAACACCAAAAAAAAAAACAAAACTAAATATAAAGCGTCTGATTTATATCATTTTTCCTTTTCCACCGATAAATATTTTTATATAAAACAAACCCCTGGTAACTCATCACTAGGTTTGAACAACTGAAAAAAATCAGATCAACAATTACTGATGAAAAATTATTTAGATCTACCTTGTTGTTGCATTGACTGAATCAAACGGAACAAATGAATGTAAACGAACAACTTCACATTTTTTTTCATGTTTTGATATTGCATGCTGAGTGAGTGGTGTAGGTGCATAATAATCCTAAATTAAATAAAACTTTTCTTTCAACTATTTCAAATCAATTTTTAAGTTGAATTGATATCTTTCTCTTTTGATTGAATTTTGAATTTGATAATTTAGAATTTTGTCTTTTCTGTTTTCCTTTTGTTCGATTTATTCAATGTATTTGTTATTCTCTCATTTTTTTTTTATTTTATCAATCTTTAATGGTTTCTCTTTTTTTCTTTGAATTATTTTTAATATTTTATTAGATTTTATTTTGATTAATATGCATTTTTTCAGGCAAGAATTTTATTTTATTTTATTTTTGTTAACTAAGTGACTAATTGAATTATTTTTTTTAATATTAAAATGGTAATTATACAAAGTTTAATATTGATAATTGAGTTTATATTTGCTGAAAATATTCTCATAGATTATCTTGATGATATGCAGTTTAGTCATCTTTGCCACAATCAACCGAAAGACTTACAGGATTCGGTGTATGATAAATTGATGGTAAAGTCAGATTTGGAATACCTAGGAAATAACAAATTTCTTTTCTTTTCTTTTATTATATTGTTTTCTTTTGATAAACTTACGAAATTGATGAATTCTTTCATTATGTCCATCGTCGAGGACACTCTATAAATGAATATAGATATGTTTATTATTTATATTCGAAAATTCGATTCATAAAAATCGTCGCTAATGACATATGTTGGCTATTCAGTAGTAGAGCTACTGATACAGATTAGTATAAAACTACTGTTATCACTAGCTAACTACCGTTTAGACAAAGTCTTTTTTCTACAAGATAAACATGTATTGCATAAACTTACTAAATTGTAGAGGGCGACCAGAAAAGTATCGATTGTTGACCAAACATCCTACAAGCAAAAAGTGAGATGTACCGAATGATGAAGAAAAGAATAATGAAGCAAAGTGTTCATTTTCTCTGTTTTTTAATAATGATAATGAAGCGGTAAGAGAGAAGCCGAGTGCAAGAGAGAAAAAGAAATAGGAAGAGAGAAACATAGAAAAGAAAGCTGTTCATCTCTTTCTATAGATGTCTAATTATTCGCCGTAGGATACTGTCAAGAAATAAGAGGAACAATGATGATGATGCTGCCAACTCTCGGCAAATATGCATTATGAATTTAGTGTATGTGTATGTATTGATAATGATGAAAAAAGCAAAATTAACTTTGTTTGACATGCTTCAAATTTGACTAACTGTGTTGCTATCTTTCTTGTCTTCTTCATTTCCGCTTCTTACCGCATTATTCTCACTATTAAAAGAAAAACTTTTTAACATAGCATCATCGTACAATAAATCTCCCTATTCTTCTTGTTTTATTCTACTTTGTCTATGACTATTATTACAGACTCTGTCAAAATTTTTAATTAGATTTAAAATTAGAAGCTCACCGAAAGAATCACGCTTCAGGCCGACATTTATCTATATATAATGAGAAAAAAAAATAAGAAAAAGAAATTATCTTTTAAGGCTTTACTTGCTTATTCAAAAGATTTACATCATACACTTGCACTCGATCTTTATCTATCTCACACACATTCTCTCTTCTTCTCTCCACTCTCAATTTACGTAAGAGGTTTCCTACTTTTTTTTTTCCTTCTTTCATACATTAATGAGAAACATGCATGTACCTTAGCCAGTCACTAGATACATGTCCAATTATAATGAGCGAGCATCGTAGCATTCTATCTCGTTTTACCTTAGTAGTGGCATCAACTGACTCCGACTGATGATGAAGAATATCATAGTAGGTCGTGACGAATGATGGAAGAAACTGAAGCACAAATGGTCGATGTTGCACATCGCGATAAAGTGTGAAGAGGTGATCACAAAGCGATGATGCATACTAGAGATATAAAAAAATATTATATTACAATATACATATACATATATATTTATTGATACATACCTCCGAAGATTCTGTAGTAATAGCTAAGTGAATTTCAGCATTTAGCTTTGAATTGTAGTTGAATGTTGATGATGCTTTCTCATCCTATTCAAGCAAAACAGAAAAAAAGAAGAAGAATAAGACTCACATCTTTCTTTCATTTTTTCTCCTCTTTCAGCTTCCGACGCGTTCTCTTTATTTAAACACAGACACATATACTCACCTAGACGATGAGAAAAGGGGAAAAAAAGGTGAAACCTAGTCGTGCGAACAAATTTCTTTCTTTCATTTTCTATTTTTTTTTTGTGCTAACATCATCTCTCAGAAACACTCTGTGCGTGCGAGCATAATCTTTGTCGCCTTGGTCGACATGTCTTTCTCGTTTAAGATTTAATGTTTTCACTGACAAGTGATAATCTTTTTTTTCTTCAGCATAAAAAAATTCTCAGTCTCTTTTTTCCACTTTTTTTTGTATGACATATGATTTATGTTGTCTTAAATATGAATGAATAAATAAATAAATGAAAGGAGAGTAAAAAAAGATGACGAGCGTATATGTCTCTTATATAATAAATTCGAATTGTTCGTACGAAGATACAAGCTGAGATGTACAATCAAACAAAGAATAGAAATATTAAATTATTACATTTGAAGTATATATGGTATATCATCTACTATGAATCTTTCTATCCTTCAAATTTTAAAGAAAATCTTTGCTTAAAGAAAAAAAAAAGATATGAAACTAGTAAGAAGATTTTCATTTTAACGAGATGATAAAAGAAAAATGAACAAGACTATGAATAGAAGCAAAAAAAGAAAAAAGATCAACAACCCATCGTTACTTTTTCTTAAGAACTTGTTTTTTTTAATCTTCTAGAAAGGTGCACATCATAAGAGAAAAGTGAGCAAAGAAAAAAAAAAGATGTTCCTCCTTTACGTTGCTTTGGTGATGTTGCTAGAAGCAGAAAATCGAGAAAGATTATAAATCACACACAGACACATATATGTGTGTTTAGATTCAAACAATTTTTGATTGCTAACACGCAATTCTATTCATAAATAACAGTAGAGGAAGCATCTTTCAATTTAGAAATATTATCCTCATTAGCATCTTATTTATGCTGAATAAGATGAAAAGAAATGAGTCTTGACATGCTAGATTATCAAAAAAGACACACTGTATCCACAAAGATATTCGAAAAGTAATATATACCTTGAATAAAACAAGCCAATCATCAACTTCGGTAAAATCATTCGAAAAAGACTCTTTTGAATAAAGACTATCACTAGTTTGACTAGTAGTCGTCATGTTTTCAAACTAAAAAAAGAAGGAAAAATTCAAAGATATATAAAGACAATGTAATCTGTTTGATATATCATTCAAACCTTGTGATTAGACCCTGTTCAATAGTAAACAATAAATAATATGAAATTCTCATTTGACATTTGAGATTCTTTATCTATCTAAAATAAACTATTTTATGAAACAACGTAAAAAGCTATCTATAACATCAAACAAGTTGTTTTTTTTGTCTAGTTTTTCAAAAATTTATTTTATGATCGTGAAAATCATTTGATAAAGTACTAAGAACTATTTCTTTTCAAAATAAAATACATATCATGTACTAAGCACCTCAAAGAAGAATTTCTAATACTAGTACGACTAGTAGATTTTAAGAAGCGCAAGGAAAATGAAGGTGTTGACAATAATTTATGATTCGTTTAAGAAATCACGAAAGATTTTTCTTTACTATACCTCTACAATGATATTTATCAATTGTACATAGAGGTCGCCATTTGATGTGTCAAGTAAATCGACAAGGAAAGGTTTAGCTTTCAAACAACAATTATTAGCAACGTATTATAAATAAAACCTTTTATAATTGGATCTTTTATTATCAAAATGAGTTTTTCTACATTCTCGAGGAAAAACTATCAAAACTGAGTCCTATATGATTGATAAAGTATTAGCATATGATAATCAATAAGAGCCCGATTCAGCCCATATTGAAATGAAGAGGAGTATAGAAGTTTTTCTGAGAGAAGTAAAACTTAAATTTTCGTACATCGAGATGTCATCATTGGGGCATTCTATCAGTCAGACTAACGCTATTCGCTATCGATAAAGAGATCTTTAAAAATCTTTATAATTTAATGAATAATCAAAAAATAAGTATATCTTTTATAGTTTAGATTGATTTTAATCTGATCCATAACACAGATGTCGAATTTGTATAAATAAATCTGTGTTAGTTCACAGCTTGAAGGTATAAAAATTCTTATCTATACATTATTGAAATATGACAATCAGAAAACTCCAATGAACATATTCTACTGAATTTACAGTCAATTTAGTAAAAAATACGTTCGATGAAAAAAAAAGACGCTTGTAAAGCTTCACTTTTATTCTTCATTTGAGTGAATACATAGTAAAATATGAATATTAGAACACATCATAGACGACTGATGAGGGAAGGCCACCAACTGTTCCATCGCATTTGCATTGAAACTATTTGCGTTATGTAGTTCCCAAAGAGTTATGAATACCCTGAAAATATTTTGGGCTGATAGCTTATTGTAACGAAAATAGTCCATTTGTAAGGTATGGGTTTTATTGAGTGCCTGAGGTCCCCTTCAGGAACATTGAAAAAATTGATTTTCGAATTTCGACTTGAAACTTTACATAGAAAGACGCTCCAAGGAGAACAACTTATTATGAACGTTTCAGATCTTTCTAGTGTTCTTATCACTAGACACTGCTATTGTGAAATTTGTATTTTATATCCTTCAAATAAAGTAGCAAATTTAGTGAAACAAACAATCAAAAGGCTCAAAACCTTCAGAAAACACTATTCTTGTTGAGAAGTATTTCCATGTAAAGTTTCAAGTCGAAATTCGAAAACCAATTTTTTTAACGTTCCTGTGGGGACCACGGCAATCATCAAAAACATACCTTACAAATGGACTATTTTCGTTACAATAAGCTATCAGCCCAAAATATTTTCAGCGTATTCATAACTCTTTGGGAACTACATAACACAAATAGTTTCAACGCAAAAGCAATGGAACAGTTGGTGGCCTTCCCTCGTGAGACTGTAAGCATGTGAGTTTGAGTTTGGGTTTTCTGTTCAACCACAAACCGACACCATTTCACGCACATCATGTCTTATGACTACTTCTATATATGTTGAACATCGTGACAGGTACACTGATCTCTCCTAAAAAGAATGAATTCAAAACTTTTCCAAAAATTTGTATAGGCCATTGCATTACATAGACTGTGCTTTCTTTTTATCACATCAATTTATAATTTCGCAATGATCACTCATTGATTTCATTGTTTTCTAGCTAAGAGAGGGTATGGGTATGGAGTATGGAAGCGACCAGTATAAGTGTAAATGCTTTTAGTATATCTGTTTGTGGTCATCGACTTTTGATAACTAATAATCGCAGTTAAAAAAGTAAATTCTACTCCAAGAATGTTTATCGAACCAATGCATGAACAATATTATTCGGAATAAAACAGGACTTCTCTGTAAGATATTCGGGTGAAAATTAGTTGTTTTGTAGTAAAGTTTTATTTAAAATTTTAAATGAAACTATATATAATTAAGTTGCTTGTACACTAAATCAATTAATTTTGGAATCCGATGACGACTATCGTGGTAATGAACAGTTGTATACATGTGATGCAGGAAAATATCGAACATCTATAATAAAAAAGATTAAGCAAAGATATTTTGAAACAAAATCTGTGATCGAAATTGCAAAATGTTTCGCCATATATTTTATTCTAATATTTTTGTAGCATTTGGATAACATCTTCGATCATACTCTTTTATTAATTTTTATACTCGTTATCTTGCGCTTTCCAACAAAAAAGGAATCAAGCCTCTGCATTACCGCATCGCAACACTATATCAAACGAAAATTAATGTAGAACTTTTGCCTCATTTGATAACACTCTCAAAAATGAAGTTACTTGAAACGGGTAAATTTACGTTACTTTAAGAGTTGTCTCTTTTTTCAGATTTCAAATCAGATAAGAAAATCTCTTTACGAGTTTCTCAAATCCTAATGTTTCCAAATCTTTTGACACTGGAAGTTATAAATTGTAGAAGAATGTTTTTTTTTTTCTATTGAAAACTAATTATGATCTATTCGTTGAAAAGCATATTTAGATACAGTGATCTGCCGTTTTTTCTATTATTGTTTGGGAAAAAGACGAGATTGAACTAGTATGAACTTCTATTCTTGATGTCAAGAACTGTAACATCTGCTCGATTTATTTCAAACATTTATCAGAAGAATTTATTTACTGTGTTTTCGTTAAATAAATTCTTAAAATTAGATCTGACGGCAAGAAACCATGGTCTATGTGGAGCATACAGATGTTCAAATATTCGAATAAAATTGGTTTTTTCCAATTTATTTGCAAAATCATCGACACATTTTGTTTCTTTTGCTAGCAAGCATTTTGTACATGAACCTGTTATATCCAATAATAAACGTTGATGCGTATAGATTTTCTATTATGTTATCTTTAATCACACTCCTATGTTTAACTTCACTCTCTTCCTCTGCTTATCTGCAAGCAAGTGGTATTTATAATAGATTTTAGAAGAAAGATGGAATTTACTGAAATAGATAACGTAATGCGATTGGAAAATTACATGAGTGATCATATCAAATCAAAGAAAACAATAAGGGAAGATAACAAGAAACTACTAGGAGCAATACCTAACAGAACGAAAGAAAAGATATAGCAAACGAATATATGTGGAAAATATCTCTAACAACTGTTCCTTATGACATATTATATGTACGTGCCATAATAGAACCATGAAGTTTATGAACTAAATAACACATTCAAAATGAAAGCTACAAGTTTCATTCGACAGCGCAAACAATTGAAAAAACAATCATATCTTTGCACAGGTAAAGTTTCGCTAGGTATATTTCTGAAAATTTCATGATACCATTTATACAACATATTAATTGATTGTATGCCAATACTTAATGTCGAACTGTGGCTAACTATGTTCGTTGGACTGTATTGTGAAAAATATTGCGATCAGCTTGATTTTCCTAATAGTTATCTATAAATATGAGAAAACAATATATTATATGAAATATGTATCAGACGGCAAGAATAAACAATTTATTTGTGATCAATATACATACATACTGTATGTACTTGATGAAATTCCCTCGGTTTTCGTTGTACTTGTACATGCACTTTCTGTCCGAATTCATCTATTTTGAACGAAATGAAGATATTTTTTTCGAAAAACACGATTTATCATTGGAAACAACACTCTTTAAAATGAACATTATACATATCGATGTGTTTTTATTTTATTGGGTTGTAACATAAGTTCTGCAGATTTTTTTCTTCACCAACCAATTTATTTCACTGCCTTTTTCGGATCACAATCGGCTAGTTTCTGCAAATATGGGTGGAACAATTGTTATCAAGATGGATGGAGGTTTCGAAAATAATGGCGATTACATTCTTGATTGATGTTGCATATCTTTGTCGTAAACTAAATTTGTTAGTGAATGAAAAAACCTGTAGAACTTATGTTACAACCGAATAACTCAAAAAAATAAGATAAATTGATGCTCATTTTAATTTAAGAAGGCAACAAATCATAACATCATTAGATGTGTGACCCAATGCATCAATTAGCGATAGTAATACCTAAAAGTTTTTGTTGCTTTTTTTAAACTTTCGTAATTTCGTGAAATTTTGACATGAAAACAATAGAAAATGATAACGAAGAGTGTAACTTTAGAAAATTAGACAAGAGTATCCTTGAAAGTTAACCCTAAATGTCAAAAACTTATAAAAATCTAACATATTTTTTTATGTTGGACAACGGCTGGAATCTTAAACGAATATTTACGATATTGATAGTGGTCTGGTTGAATCGCTAGAACATTGCAATTGTGTTGATCCAGCTTGCCAAGTACACCTTTAAACATTAGATACAAGATGATAGACAAGTGAAATTTATATGAGAGATACATCTTAACTATTATTAGTATGAGTAAAAATTTCAGCTGCATATTAGCCCTCAATCTTGAGATGTAGATTGACCAAAAACTCATGAACTAATGTTTTTTGTTCGATTTATAAGATTCATAAAATACCATGGGAGTAATAGCTGGAGCTGAAAATGTTTTTCTAAGTAAAAATTGTTGGTATGTGGATTCCGAAAAAAATTTTATTTCTATCAGATGATTCGTTCTTGAAATATGGGGTATGCAAAAACAGCTTTTGGGAACTTACAGTTTTTTATAAGT